TTCCAATACTTAATTTCCCTTGTAAGAAAGTTGTAATTTCTATTTTTTCTAGTTTCACCTCTATATAATGACTTCCAACCACTTCTTCTATTTTAAAGATTTATTTTTCTTTTCTTCCCCATCTGCTATGAAAAACAATTTATTCCTGTTGTGTAAATTCAGTATTTATATAATTTTTCTTTTGATACTGTGGAAGGTATTATGATTTCAATTATTCTATCCTCTTTAGAAGACCTAGTCATAGAATAATATTAAAAACATGTATCATTTTAAGAAAAAACTAATCAATTCTTTCAAGAAAAACAATTGTTTAGCATCTGTTAAAATGTGATTAAGAAATTGGTAACAGTAAATATTTTGTACAAAATCACAAAGGTAAATCTTTACTTCTTTTTTTCCATTAAGTTTATTGGTACATTTTAGGTATAAAATACAGTTACATTCGTCATTGGGATCTTGTACCATTACATGAGTATCTTGGTTCTTATTTTTTCCCCATTCCCCTGCCCTTCCTTTACCTCCTCCACCCTTCCCTATTTGCAAAGACTTTGCTTCCATTTTTTTTCCATTTCTCATATTTTTTCTTTTTCGTTCTTTCCTTTCACCTACCCCTCCCACTTCCCCTACTGTTTTAGACCTTTGCTTCCTATCACACAATATCAAGTATACATTGTTTTAATTACAATATCAAAATTTAGAGGACATTACTGCAGATTTTGCAGAATGTAATAGGATATAAAAAGCACGTTACAAAAATCTTTTTAAAAATAAATTTGACAACTTCTAAGATGTACCTTGGAAGACAATTAATGAAACTGACTCTGGAGGAAATATGAAACTTGAATAGCACCTATTAGTATATTCCTAGTTTGAAAATCTACCTATATGACAACAACAGGCTCATATACATTGTAACTGATGAATTATATCATACATTTAAAGCAGAAAAAAGAAGGAACACATCTTCCCTCATTTTAGGAAATCAACATTGTGCTAATATTAAAACTGGATCAAGATAATAGAAAAAAAGTATGAACATAGGTAGAAATTTGTTTAACAAAGCAAACTATTAGAAGTCAGATCTGGCAGTATGTAGAAAGTGGTTTCTTTATAGGCATGACAGTGTTGGTTCAGCATTGGAAGATCCACCCCCAAAAGTCATCATTTTAACAGAGGAAAGGAAAAAGCTATATGATCCTGTCATTAGTTGCCAAAAAAGTATTGGACTAAATTCTGCAGCTGTTCATGATAAAAGCTATGAGGAGCCTAGAAGTAGAACAGAACCTTCTCAACAGATACAACATGTATTCCATACTTCCAGCAAAAACGCCTTATATGGATGGAAAAGATACCATACTTTCTCCCTAAGGTGGGGAACAAGGGCAGATATGCCTACTCTTCATCTGTCCATTACACTTTGAAACATAGGCCCAAACCAGAATAGTCTGGCAATGAAAAGACACAATTAGCATAGGATTGGCACGATAGGAGTAAAATATTTACATGCAGATGAAATGATCATCTACAGAGAAAATACTCATAAATCTCGAAGAGCCCCTAGAACTTGTATTTGAATTTAGCAGGATTAGAAAACACAGGGTATATATAAAAATTCAGGTCTTTGTATACTTGCTGTAAGTGAAGAATTGTATATTGAAATTTGATAGTTATGTAGGAGTACAAAGGACCTACAAAAGTAAAAAGAAGAAAAACAGTGTTGGAAGACATTTATTACCTATTTTTAAGACTTCCTCTAAAACTACAGTACTCAAGACTGTGTTGGTGTAAGGAAAGACATATAGGTCATTGGAATAAAATGGAGAATCTAGAAATAGAACCACACATATATGGTCCACTGAGTTTTGAAAGATTATTTAACATTAACATTTTATAGAACATAAACTCAAGAGCAGAGGAAAAGATAGTGTTTTCAGCAAAAGGTACTAGAACACCTGTATCCGTATATAAAAAATGAACCTCAACCATTTATTTCCATGCATAAAAACAACTTGAAAGGATCCATGAACCTAAATATGAAAGACTAAAATTATAAAACTTCAAGAAGAAATTATAAGGGAACATGTTCATGAATTTAGGGTAGGTAAGAATTCCCTAGGATACAAAAAACATGATGTATAAAAGAAAAAATTGATAAATGAGATTCCATCAAAATTTGGAACTTTAAATGACATTGTTAAAATGAAAAGTGGCCCTTAGACCATATTTGTAATAATACATATAACCTATGACAAGAATATATAAAGAACTCTTACAGCTCATTAATAGAAACCCAATTAAAAAGTAGACACAAGAAGATGATAAATAGCCAGTACAGCACAAGGAAAGGTGTGCAACATTAGAATCAGAAAAATACTAACCAGTATAATAACAAGATCATATTATATACTCATAAGGGAGATGAAGTTAAAAGTTTTAAAAGAAGAAGTGTCAGCTTAGGTGTGAACCAGTTAGAACTTTCTAATACTGCTGATATGAATGTAAAATGATAAAACCATTTTGGAAAACAATATAGAAATTTATTGTATTACTGTTAAGAAGCATCAGTTCTGTTCTTAAGTTTTTACTTAAGAGGAATGAAAACACACGCTCACAATAGATTTGTACATACAAGTTGACTATCCCTTATCTGAAATTCTTGGGACCAGAAATGTTTCAGATTTTTGTTTGAAATCCACTTGATCTGCAAAGGGGATAGCTACTCCTGCTTTTTGGGGCTTTTCTGTCACATGGAGTATTGTTTTCCACTCTTTAACTTTCAGTCTATGAGTTTCTTTTTGAATTAAGTGTGTTTCTTGTGTGCAGGATATTATTGCTTCTTGACCCATCCTGCCAGTCTATTTCTTTTGATTGGTGAATTGAGACCGTTAACATTGATGGTTATAATTGATACATATTGACTTATCATTGTCATGACTGTTTCTTTTTTTTTGGATTCTCCCCCTTTGCATTTAATTTCTTGTTACACCCAACAAATTCATTCTGCTAGGCTTCTTCGGGTTGTGTTCTTCATCTTTTCCTAGGATATTTTCTAAAATGTTTTGGAGTGCTGGCTTGGGATTCATGAAGTTCCTAAGGTGCTCTTT